ACACACACACATCACGTGCACACACACACACACACACACATCACATGCAAACACACACACACACGCACAGACACACACACACACACGTACACACGCACACACACACACTCACGCGCACGCACACACACACACACACACACACACACACACACACAGCACTGAAGACACTGGACATGCGTGACTGTTTTGATCTCCGCTTAAATGCATGAAATTAGTTTGGGGGTTTAATGCCAGTGTTATTTTATTTCTTTATTTTTAAATTGTATTGTAGTTTAATTAATATTTTTAATAAGTTTTATTTTCATGTTAATTTTAGTTAGATTTTTAGTCATTTCATTATGTGCTTTTTTTTATTTTATATACATATATATATATATATATATATATATATATATATATATATATATATATATATATATATATATATATATATTTCTTTTTAAGTTTAATTTATTTGTATTTGTATTTCAGTTTCAGTTTAATTTTATTTATTTCCAGTTAATAATTTTAGTGCTTCAACTTCAACTTATTTCAGTTTATTACGCATTTTGGTTTGATATTTATATTTTATTTTATTTCAGCTTTACTTCAATTAACATATTTTTTTAATCAAATAATGTTGATAAAGACTAATAAATTTTGTAATAATTGTTTTGCTCATTGTTAGTTAATGCATTAGCCAGCGATATGATCGTTAACTAAAACTATTGAAAACATCCTCAACCAGACCTTTCTAAAGGATCTCATGTTAGTCACTTTCACACTGAAGGAGCCTACAGGACGAGTTATACAACAATTACTCTTAGCTGGATATTAATATTCATGAGGAATGAGCGAGTCCATCTTCGTGGCGTTCTGTGATTGTGGGAACCGCAGATCTTCAGTTTTCTGCAGATTTTAATAATAGATTTTCTTTCCGATTTCCACCTGACCTTTAATCCGGCTCCATCCACGTTATCTATAAACTCTGAATTATTAATCTAATTATGCTGATAAACGCTGTTATAATGCAGTGTAACGGCCTGTGACCTCTGACCTCTGACCTCCAAATCTCCAGAAATCTCAGTAGATCAGTGATTCTGGCACACACTCATACGCCTCTACGCACATATATCTGTGTATTTGCTCCAGATTTACTTTATAACCTATTCGGAAACGCTTTACTTGAAGGGGTGTGCATAAGACTGACATGACACCTTCATAATCATGACGTGACACATGTCATGAATATTAAGGAGGGTTATGCATGTTTATGACAACTGTCATTAAGTGTCATTCACTCAATTATGAAATTTTTAATGCAAATATGACATTGAGATGTCTTGGTGTTATGACAACTTGACATTACAAAGACAACACAACTTGTCATAAATATGTCATAAACATGACATAGCAGATTAATTATCAAACTTAAGAAAGCACATAGCTTTATGGGTTAACATTACATTAAACTGTCATGCGGCTGGTTTTGACATTGGCTGTCATGAGGCATTATAACTGTGTTATGAATATGTTTCTTGACCTCGACTACAGTGGTACACATTGAATTTGTCATTAACATGTTATAATGGCCTCATGACAGCCAATGTCAAAACCAACCTCATGACAGTTTAATGTAATGTTAACCCATAAAGCTAAGTGCTTTCTTAAGTTTGATCATTAATCTACTATGACATGTTTATGACAGGTTATGATGTATTGGTTTATGTCAAGTTGTCATAACAAAGACATCTCAAACAATGTCATATTTACATTAAAAATGTCCTAATTGAGCGAATGACACTTAATGACAGTTGTCATAAACATGCATAAAACCTCCAATAACAATAATGTGTCGTGTCATGATTATGAAGGTGTTATGTCAGTCTTATGCACACCCCTTCAAGTAAAGTGTTCCCATATAGGTAATATTCGTATATAAACAGTGCAGGGGTCTCCCGATCACATGACCCGAGCCGGTCTCGCTTGATACATCTTTCATAAATGTATCTGGATTGAAGAATGTTTAGATATTTGTGCTGGAAAAAAATACTGAGGAAGGAACATCTTAATTTTTTGCAGTGAATCCCAGACGGACTCAGTGACACTGATCTAATCTTCTGGGTTATTGCAAGATTTGCAAAAAGGAATATTTTATTTATAGGATATAAAAGTTACACTTTATTTTACAGTGTTTTTGTTACATATGTAACATGTACTTACTGTAGTAATAACAGTAAATTATTCATAATTACATGCAACTAACCCTAAACCAAACCCTACCCTATAACCCTATAGTGAGTACATGCAGTTAATTAATATTACCCAGTGCTTAAATATATAATTACACTGTAACAACGACACCTTAAAATAAAGTGTAACCGATATAAATAACGACGTTGTTGTTGCGGTGAAGCGTCTGATTGCTCAGTTCTGCATGTATAAATGTACATTAAGCAGTGCTTCACAACTTTGCATTATTTAAATGAACATTGTCTTAATTAAAATGCTACTAAACACTAAAATGTAAAGATCTATAACAGAGGTTGAGAAGCGCTGGTTTCTCAGTGTTGATTTGCTCTTCTGTCATTTGCATGGAGAGACACACACACACACACACACACACACACACTCACACACACACGTGTTCAATAATCCCAAACGCGGATTCTCTTGATTGAATCTTCTTCAATATTCCTTAATCAAATGAACGTGTGTGATTGAATCTCTTGCATCTATTTGGTTTCATTTGCTGAATTGGATTAGAAAGGCAAGCGTGCCGGCGTCCGGTGTTCACTGGTCATTCACAGCTCATGTTTGTGCATATTCGTCTGATTACAGTGAGGAGAATTAATGTTGCTTTCATTGCTAATGTACAGTGTGTTCTGATGCACGTGTGCTTTCACACATCACATTGTCCTCCTTATTAATGCACATATGAATGTTTACTGAGAGGCAGAGCAGATCTGAAGTTTATAATAATTATGATTTTCTTTTAAGTCTCACCAATGCTGATACTGTACAAATTGTGAAATATTATTCCAGTGTAAATCATCTGTTTTCTATGTGAATATATAGTAAAGTGTAATTTATTCCTGTGATTTTCAGCATCATTACTCCAGTCTTCAGTGTCACATGATCCTTCAGAAATCACTCTAATATGAGGATCTGATGATCGAGAAATTGTCAACGTTGAAAACATTTTTGGGTAACATTTATGTGAGGCATTAACACTCAAAAATTTGGAGTAAGAAAGAAAAACAAATGATCAAAAGTGACAGTAAAGACATTTACAATGTTACAAAGATTCTATTTTAAAAAAAATGCTGGTCTTTTAAACTTTCTATTCATCAAAGAATCAAAAGTATCAGTTTCCACTAAAATATGAAGCTGTGTTCAACACTGATAATAATCATAAATGTTTCATGAGCATCAGATCCTCATATTAGAGTGATTTCTGAAGGATCATGTGACACTGAAGACTGGAGTAATTCAGCTTTGATCACAGGAATAAATTACACTTTACTGTATATTCACATAGAAAACAGCTGATTTACATTACAATAATATTTCACAATTTTAGATCAAATAACCGCAGCCTTGGAGAGCAGAACAACTTTTGACTGGTAGTAGTGTATATGTTTTGGGTCTTATATACCTGTTGATCCATCCAGACAAAAACAGAAAGACATACAGTATATATATATATATATATATATGTACAGTATAAGGCCAGTGGACGTCTAGAGATGGGCTGATGGGTTCAGCGTTAAGGTTTGTGTTATAAACATCACGCATGCCAGGAATCGCTCTCTCTCTCTCTCACACACACACACACACACACACACACACGTATGCCACCATGTCTGCTTGTGTTCATTTTATATATCGTTTTCAAACATTAATATTTTTTACTTTTTCTTTCCTTCCATCTTCATCCCCCTCCACTGCTTAAACCCCTCCACCACCCCACTGGGCAGGAGAACCTATCAGTCCTACACTTACTACCTGTAAGTAAAACACCTTTGTACACTGTTAGTGTCACGCTGTGTTCGCTCTGTCGGCTCAACCCTGCATGACTGACCCGTGCGCTCGCATCTCACGATCCTCCAGACACAATACAACCAACCCTCGGCCTGAGATATGCAGTGCTATTTAAAACTGTGTGTGATATTACGACCGAAGGAGATCGGCATTGACGTTTTGATGTGATTTTCCATCGTTTGCTGTGAAATGCCTGTCTGTGAATGCTGAACCTCCTCAAATCAGAACCGGGATGTGGGATTTATTATTAGTGTTAGTATTATAGTTACAGATGTGACTGATATAAGAGCTCTCTCTACTTGTAGATAACTGGAATAAAAACTTTCCCGAGGATGATTCTCCTTGTCTTGCCCAGGATGGGAAAACATACTTTTCCCAAGCCTAAAATTACCCTTCATCTCATAAATCATCATCATCATCGTCGCTCCATAAGCATTAATCCCAATCACTACACGCTTCCGTCGTTTCGCTTGAGTTTTCCTGCATGTTTGGTGTCTTTTGCATGCAAATGAAGCCCATTATCCTAATATTTCCAGTTTTTCTAACACGTGTTTAATGGATGCTTGCTCTGTTCTGTTTGTTTGTTTGTCATGTTGAGCGTTTGCACATTTTTAGAGGTGGGAATCAAGAACTGGTTCGTGTTTAAAACCAGTTCCCAATATACTGGAACCAATTGAAAATGCTCTTAGTCTTTCCCGTTTATTCTGCTCTGCTGTGGAAAACAAATAGTTATGGACTGAATGCAATTGTGAACAGCAAACAGCAAATACTATTATAGTCTTTATGATAACTTTATATGTAATGCATTATAAAAGCATTTTATACTTTCATTATAATTAAATTATATCAAATTATAATCATTAGTCATTATAATCTGAACACACACACATCTGTATACTGTATCAGTGTCAGGCTTTAAGATACTGAACACCAGTGGGCGGGGCCTATGGTACGATAATGTGTCTTGCTCTGGAGGC